CCCGTGGCGGAGCGTGGCCCGGAGCGGCGGCGGCCCCAGGCCGTCCTCAGTGCCGCCGAGCTGGGCCGTCCTAACTGCGGCCGCCCGCCGGGGCATGGCTAGGCCCGCCTTCAGGTGCTGGGCACAGACCCTACCGACTTCTTTCTCTCCTTCCTTCAGGTCGTGTGTGTCCCTCTGTGGATTCTCATGTCCTTTCTGTGCCTGGTGGTCCTCTATTACATCGTGTGGTCTGTCCTGTTCCTGCGTTCCATGGATGTGATTGCAGAACAGCGAAGGACACACATAACAATGGCACTGAGCTGGATGACCATCGTCGTGCCTCTCCTTACTTTTGAGGTAAGCTTTCGACAGCAGAACTCTTCAGGCCCTGAATCCCACCCTTCCCTGTGACGGCCCTCCGAAAGCACCGCAGAGGATGGAGGGATGGAGAGGATGATGGTAGAATTAGAGCATCCTTTCTTTGGGGGAAGGGGGCGAGCAGTGAGTCTCCGTAGCCATGATGCACCAGTGTGTGTTGATGTGTCTACATCTAGGAAGAGGGAGTTGGTGCAGAATTAGAGACTGGGCACTGTTGATGCTTTAGAACAAACACCAGCAGGAGCTTCCCATAACAAGCCTGGTGGTGGAAACTTCCCAAGTAGACAGATTTTGCTTCGTCCTAAAGAGGGATATGAGAGTTTACCTTGCGCTTCCCCCCAGAATAGAGGGTTTCTCCAGTCTCCCGTGGAGCTGACCTTCCCCCTTATGAGACCTGACAAGGGAAGGGTGGACTGATCTCAGCCATTGTCCATCCTCAGATGCTTTATCAATAGAACCTCAACTATTTCTCTTTCCTCAGATCCTGTTGGTTCACAAACTGGATGGCCACAACGCATTCTCTTGTATCCCGATATTTGTCCCTCTTTGGCTTTCCTTGATCACTCTGATGGCAACCACATTTGGACAGAAGGGAGGAAACCACTGTACGTATTCAGCACTTCAGAAGCCCTTGACCTGTGTGTGTGTGTGTGTGTGTGTGTGCGCGTGAGTGTGTGTGGCCCCACTCTGTGAAAGGATGAGCCTGAGGGTCCCAGTTAAGGAGGTTGCCCGAGGAAGACCTGGGGCCTTCCAAGGGAAGGGTGCGCTGTCAACCTTGCTCTCCGTGCCCTGTACCATGACCCCCCTAATGGCGCACTCTGCCATCTGAGGTAGGGCTGAGCGTGCTAGGTAGCCTCTCGGCCCTGCTTCCCAGAGGCTCCCAACGATTAGATCAAAATCCATGTCACCCACCAAACCCTGGGAGTGCTCTTAGGTTCTGTGTCCTCCTGGGTCTCCCCAGCGACATTGCTGACATCACTGTGGCTTGTCAGTGGTGACCTGCTTGCCCTCTCTCCTCCCCACCTGCATGATGGCACATTTCAGTTTTGAAGTGATCTTTGACAGCAGTCCTTCCTTACTAGACTGTAAGCCTCTCTGCAGGTAGCGCCGGGGCGTGCCATTCTGGAAGCCAGGAGGCGGGGCGGTGGGGGGTGGGGGTGTGCCCTGGGAGAGCCAGCACTGAGCTGACGGTCCCGGGGTACAGACAGCAAGAGCACGCCTCAGAGAAGCAGCGTTGAGGGGGCCCCGGGAGCTCAGGCTGCCTGCCGGCGTGGACCAGCGTGGCTGCCAGAGGCTGCCCGAAGTCCCTTTTTTGCTTGACATGCTTGACATTCTTTGGCCTGTGTCAGCACATCCCAGCTGGGGAAGACGAGGGGACGGTGACGTAGCCTCGACGGCGCAGGTACCCGTCGGAGACGTGCCAGAGCAGTCCTAGCCGCTGGAGGCCCGTCAGAGGGACACCTCCACCCCAGCCACTGCCTGATCTCTAGCGAGGTCGCAGCGTGCCCTGTGGTCGCTGCCGGTCTGGGAAGCCCACTCGCAGAGCCAGGGAGCCACAGGCCTTTCTTCTTGCCCTTGGTGGGTATCCAGGCCTCGCTCGATCTTCATTTCTAAGGCATCAGGGTGAAGCATTACATTGTACGAATAAAACTTCATGACCGGGAAAGTAAAGTGACAAGGAGATTCAGTGGAGGCCAGTGTTTGAAAAAGTACATCCTTCTTTTTCAGGGTGGTTTGGGATTCGCAAGGATTTCTGTCAGTTTCTGCTTGAAATCTTCCCGTTTTTGAGAGAATATGGAAACATTTCCTACGACCTCCATCATGAAGATAATGAGGAAACGGAAGAAACCCCAGTTCCAGAACCTCCTAAAATTGCTCCAGTGTTTCGGAAGAAGACCAGGGTGGTTATCACCCAGAGCCCTGGTAAATACGTCCTCCCGCCTCCCAAATTAAATATTGAAATGCCAGATTAGACACCACTCCCTGGAACGGAACGCAAGCGGACCAGGACGCACGCTGTCTTCTAGCCTCCTCTGCCTCTTTGTTTACCCCACCCGGAACTGGAGCTGGAGCTGGGGCTCCGGCAACTTGCATCTCATGCCTTGTTTGCACTCAATGCCTACCAGTGACTCACCGTGACGGACGCACACGTGGCAGGGGACGGGCACGCGCAGTGTGGGCTGGGGGGTGGGTGTCAGCGGCCGTGGGCATGATGGAGGGAGCGTGCGCGACGAGGAGAGGGCGATCCCCTCCTCCAGGCGGCTGCCTCGGGAGCTGGCTGGGCTCTGGTAGGGATGGCTGATTAGGCCAGAGAAGGAACTGGTTTTCAAAGTGCTACGATTCCCATCGGAAGTGTTCTTCGGAAACGTTATCT